GGAACATGGCCATACAGCCCGGAAAACTCACAGCAACCCAGGGATTCCGGCCATGAAAACCTTTCTCCCACCCTGGACACTCCACATACATATAAACCTCACTTGCCTAGTTTCCAACAGATATCTCAACCTCTGAGGATGCCTGCCATAGATGTGGGCAAAATGTTAGGAGAGAATGCTTCTGGAACATAGCCATACAGCCCGGAAAACTCACAGCAACCCATGGATTCCGGCCATGAAAGCCTTTCTCCCACCCTGGACACTCCACAGATATATAAACCTCACTTGCCTAGTTTCCAACAGATACCTCACATCTCTGAGGATGCCTGCCATAGATGTGGGTGAAATGTTAGGAGAGAATGCTTCTGGAACATAGCCATACAGCTCGGAAAACTCACAGTAACCCAGTGATCCTGGCCATGAAAGCCTTTCTCCCACCCTGGACACTCCACAGATATATAAACCTCACTTGCCTAGTTTCCAACATGCCTCACATCTCTGAGGATGCCTGCCATAGATGTGGGTGAAATGTTAGGAGAGAATGCTTCTGGAACATAGCCATACAGCTCGGAAAACTCACAGTAACCCAGTGATCCTGGCCATGAAAGCCTTTCTCCCACCCTGGACACTCCACAGATATATAAACCTCACTTGCCTAGTTTCCAACATGCCTCACATCTCTGAGGATGCCTGCCATAGATGTGGGTGAAATGTTAGGAGAGAATGCTTCTGGAACATGGCCATACAGCCTGGAGAACTCACAGCAACCCAATGATTCCAGACATAGTGACCCTGTTTGCTGTGTACTAATCTTGTTGTGATAATAATAATAATAGGATTTAAAGATCGAACTGCAAAGACTCTGGCACAAGCCAGTCAAGGTGGTCCCAGTAGTGATCGGCACACTGGGTGCAGTGCCTAAAGACCTTGGCCTGCACTTAAACACAATTGGCGCTGACAAAATTACCATCTGCCAGCTGTAAAAGGCCACCTTACTGGGATCTGCACGCATCATTTGCCAATACATCACACAGTCCTAGACACTTGGGAAGGATCCGATGTGTGATCCAATACATCAGCCAGCAGAGTGATCTTGTTTGCTGTGGACTCATCTTGATGTGATAATAATAATAATAATAATATACACTTGGGAAGTGTCCGACGTGTGATCCAATACAACAGTCAGCAGGATGACCTTGTTTGCTGTGGACTAATATTGATGTATTACTAATAATAATAATAACAATATACACTTGGGAAGTGTCCGACGTGTGATCCAATACAACAGCCAGCAGTGACCTTGTTTGCTGTGGACTAATATTGATGTGTTTCTAATAATAATAATAATAATAATAATAATAATAACAATAACAATAACAATAATAACAATATACACTTGGGAAGTGTCCGACATGTGATCCAATACAACAACCAGCAGAGTGACCTTGTTTGCTGTGGACTAATCTTGATGTGTTAATAATAATAATAATAATAATAATAATAATAATAATAATAATAATACATATCCACAATTGCATCAAACAGACAAGAGTTCTTTCTCCCACCCTGGACACCATTCCACAGATATATAAACCTCACTTGCTTAGCTTCCAACAAACCTCCCAACCTCTGAGGATGCCTGCCATAGATGTGGGCGAAACATCAGGAGAGAGTGCTTCTGGAGCATGGCCAGACAGCTCAGAAAACTCACAACAACCCAGTGATTCCGGCCATGAAAGCCTTCGACAACACAATGGCACACTCTCTGTCGCCAATCAATTCCAGAAGCCATAAGAGGAATCAACAAATCTGATCCCTTGCTTTCTTGCACAGGATTGAGTCGTGATTCAATCCCAGGACCTACGTTCTCATATATTTGCAACCGCATCTTGATTTCAGTTTGATACAAAGTGGAACCAAGCAACATCTGGGTCTCAAGAAGAGCAAGGAGCGGGAAAGGTCACTCTTAAGTCATCCAAATAAGGTCAGATCTAAGGCAAGAGGCAAAGTCAGTGAAGCTCGACAATTCCTAACAGTCTTGGGTTCCTTCCTTTTTCCCCCTCAGCCGCTTAAGTGCACTGCTTGAGTGGTGATGGCACAATCATCAGCATAGATGAAATTCTCCCTAAGGAAGAAATGGACCAACTTGGGCCTTCCAGGTGTTTTGGACTTCAACTCCCACAATTCCTGGCCCGAGGCCCCTTCTTTTTTCCCCTTCAGCCGCTTAAGCAGCTGAAGGAGAAAAAAGAAGGGGCCTTGGGCCAGGAATTGTGGGAGTTGAAGTCCAAAACACCTGGAAGGCCCAAGTTTACCCATATGTGGGAAAGCACAGCAATGGTCATATTTTTCGGCAGAGAGAGGAAAGAAAGGGAGACCGGAAGAAAGGATAGAAGAAAGGAAGAATAGGAAAAACAGATGGCAGGGGAGTAAAATAGGTGGGAATATAGAAATAATAATAATAATAAATTTTGCAGTCTATCTCAGAGCAGATATAACACATAGTAAGAAATATGGGTAGAAAGAAAGAATGGATGGATGGATGAAAAGAATGAAGGGGATAAAGGAGAAAAAGGAGAAAAAAGGAAGGGATGAAGAAAGAATGGAAGGAGGGATGGGAAGAATGAAGGGGAGAAAGGAAAAGGAGAATAAAGGAAGGGAGGAAGGTATGACGAAAGAATGGAAGGAGGGATGGGAAGAATGAAGGGGAGAAAGGAGGAAAAAGGGAGGGAGGGAGGTATGAAGAAAGAATGGAAGGAGGGATGGAAAGAAGGAAGGAGAAAAAGGAAAAAAGGAAGGGAGGGAGGTATGAAGAATAAATGGAAGGAGGGATGGAAAGAAGGAAGGGGAGAAAGGAGGAAAAGGAGAAAAAAGGAAGGGAGGGAGGAAAAAAAGAATGGAAGGATGGCTAGATTTTAACTATGAATTTTTAGTGCTGTTTGTGTTTAATTCTATTTTAATGTTTGCATTTTTGTATAATACAGCAATAAAAGTGAGGTATAATATTATATATATATATATATATATATATATATATATATATAATAAAAGTGAGGTATAATGTAATAAAAATGTAATAAATAAGGAAGAATGGAGGGGAGAAAGGAAGGAAAAATACGAAGGAGGGAAAGAAAAAGAAAATAGGAAGGAAGGAAAGTTGGGGGAAAATGGATGGATGGAAAGAAGGCAGAATTGAAGGGATAAAGGACGGAAAAGTGGAAGAGAAGAAAGCAAGGAAAGGAGGTAGGAAAAAAAGAATGGAAGGAAGGAAAAGGAGGAAAATAGGAAGGAGGGAAAACAGGAAGAATGGAGAGGAGAAAGGAAGGAAAAGAAGAATGGAGGAAAGAAAGGAAAATAGGAAGGAAGGGAAAAAGGAAGGATGGATAGAAGGAAAAGTAGAAAAGAAAAAAGGAAAGGAGATCAGAAAAAAGAAAGAATGGTTGGAAAGATGGAAGAATGGAGGGGAGGGAAAGAAGAAAGGAAAATAGGATGAAATAAAAGAAATAAAAGAAGGCAAAATGAATAGAAAGATGAATAGAGAGGAGGAAGGATAGAAAAAGAAGGAAAGGAAAATAGGAAGGAAGAATGGATGAAAAGAAGGAAAATGGAGAGAAGAAAGGAAGAAAAAGATGGAAAATAGGAAGGAAGGAGAATGGATGGGCGAAAGGATAGAAAAGAGGAAAGGAAAATAAGAAGGAAGGCAGAAGGGATGGAAAGAAGGAAGAATGGAGAGGAGAAAGGATAGAAAATAAGGAAAATGAGAAAGAAGGCAGAACGGAGGGGAGAAAAGAATGGAAAATAGGAAGGAAGACAGAATGGATGGAAAGAAGGGAGGGGTAAAAGAAAAATAGGAAGGAAGATAGGAAGGACAAAGGGTGAAAGGATAGGAAGATAGGAAGGACAAAGGGTGAAAGGATAAAGAAGAAAGGAAAATAAGAAGGAAGGAAGGCTGAATGGATGTAAAGAAGGGAGAATGGAAGGGAGAAAGGATAGAAAAGAAGGAAAATAGGAAGGAAGGAAGGAAGGAAGGAAGGAAGGAAGGAAGGAAGGAAGGAAGGAAGGAAGGAAGGAAGGAAGGAAGCCAGGCAGAATGGATGGAAAGAGGGAAGAATGGAAGGAAGAAACGATAGAAAAGAAGAAGGGAAAACAGGAAGGAAGGAAGGAACGAAGGAAGGAAGAAGGGATGGAAAGAAGGAAGAATGGAGGGGAGAAAAGGATAGAAAGAAGAAGGGAAAACAGGAAGGAAGGAAGGAAGGAGGGATGGATGGATGGAAAGAAGAAAGAATAGATGGGAGAAAGGATAGAAAAGAAGAAGGGAAAACAGGAAGGAAGGAAGGAACGAAGGAAGGAAGAAGGGATGGAAAGAAGGAAGAATGGAGGGGAGAAAAGGATAGATAAGAAGAAGGGAAAACAGGAAGGAAGGAAGGAAGGAAGGAAGGAAGGAAGGAAGGAAGGAAGGAAGGAAGGAAGAAAGAAGGACTGGAAGGAAGGAAGAATGGAGGGGAGAAAGGATAGAAAAGAAGGAAAATTGGAAGTAAGACAGAACGAAGGGGGGAAAGAAAAAGGAAAGTAGAAAGAAAAAGAGGAGAGAAGGCAGAATGAATAAACGATGGAAGAATGGAGGGGAGAAAGGAAGGCAAAGTAGAGAAGAAGGAAGGGCTGAGAGAGGGCCCTTCCACACAGTAATAATAATAATATTTATTTATTTATTTGACCAGTCCTATGGCCATTTCAAAATAGAACACGAGCTAAAAAAAACCAAGGCGAAAAGGTAAACTGGGTGATTTGAGTCCACACTGCCATATATCCCAGTTCAAAGCAGATACATAATGTGGGGTTGTATCCAGCTGTGTGGAAAGGACTGGAGAGCCTTTCCTGGAAGGGGCGTCCATGGGCCCCTCAGCCTTTTTGCAGGCGGAAAGCGGGTAAGGAGGAGGAGGAGGAGGGGGCTCCCCAAGGGGCCGGGTCTCCTTATCCGCGCCCCCCCCGCCTTGCCTGCCTACCTCCTCCTCGCTGCTGCCGCCGCTGTGCTCGCTCTCCTTGGGGGGCAGGTTGCTCATGGTGGGGGGCGTCGGGGGTGCGGAGGGCCTCTCCCCTTCTCCTTCTTCTTCTTCTTCTCCTCCTTTCCGTCCTTCCTTCTCTTTCCCTTCTTTCCTCCCGAGTGAGGCGTGAGGCGTGGGTCCGAGTGGGGCGGGGGCGCCTGCTTTGACTCCCTCCCCCCTTCTGCCCCCCTCCCCTCCCCAGCTGGAGGCACCGCCAGCCAATCACAGGCCCGAGAGGGTCCACGAGCCTCAGCTGCGGGGATGCAGGCGCCCAGGTGCCCCCTCTCCGCCCGCCCCCCCCCCCACGCCAATCAGGGCGGGAGGGGCAGAGAAGGGGCGGGGCCAAGGAGGGAGGGGCGCGCGCCCGGACGCAGCCAATCTCCGCCCACTCCCTCCCTCCCTCCCTCCTCCCCCCAGGAAACTTTGGAAACTTTCATGAACTTGCCCGGTCGGACTCTCTTAAAGGGCCCGCCGCCCGACTCCCTCCTTTCCTTTCCTTTCCTTTCCTTTCCTTTCCTTCCTTCCTTCCTCCCTCTCTTCCTTCCTTCCTTCCTTCTTTCCTTCCTTGTTTCCTTCTCCTTTTGCCTTCTCAATTTCTTTTTTCCTTCTTCCTTACTGCTACGTTTTTGTTTTCCCCCTTCTTTCCTTCTTTTTCTATCGTTTCTTTCCTGCTTTCCCAATTTATTTATCTTTCTTTCTTTCCTTTCATTTTTTCTGTCTTCTTTTTCTTTACTTCCTTTCGTCTCCTTCCTTCCTTTTCTACATTGTTTTCCCCTTCTTTCTTTCCTTCCTTCCCTTCTTCTATCCATCTTTCTTTCCTGCTTTCCCAATTTATTTATCTTTCTTTCCTTCCTTCCTTTCATCTTTCCTGTCCTCTTTTTCTATACTTCCTTTCGTTTCCTTCCTTCCTTTTCTTTGCTGCTCTCCTACTTTGTTTTCCCCTTCCTTTCCTTCCTTCTATCTATCCTTCTTTCCTGTCTTCTTTTTCTTCCTTTCGTTTCCTTCCTTCCATTTCTTTGCCGTTTTCCTACACTGTTTTCCTTCTTCCTTTCCCTTCCTTCCTTCCTTCCTTCCTTCCTTCCTTCCTTCCTTCCTTCCTTCATCCATCTTTCCTGCCTTCTTTTTCTTCCTTTCTCACACTTTCTTTCATTTCCTTCCTTCCTTCCTTCCCTTTCTTTGCTGCTTTCCTACTTGATTTCCCCTTCTTCCTTTCCCTTCTTTTCTTTCCTTCTTTTTCTTCCTTTCTCACACTTCCTTTCGTTTCCTTCCTTCCTTTTCTTTGCTGCTTTCCTACTTTTATTCCCCCTTCTTCCTTCCCTTCCCTTCCTTCTTTCCTGCCTTCTTTTTCTTCCTTTCGTTTCCTTCCTTTTCTTTGCTGCTTTCCTACTTTATTTTTCCCTTCTTCCTTCCTTCCCTTCCTTTCTTTCCTTCCTTTTCTTTGCTGCTTTCCTTCTTTCCTTCCTTCCTCTTTCCCTTCTTCCTTTTTCTTGCATCCTTCCTACTTTCGTTTTTCCTTTCTCCTTTCCTTTCCTTCTCTCTTGTCTTGCTGCTTTCCTACTTCCTTTCCCTTTCCTCCTTCCTTCCTCTTCCTTCTTCCTTTCTTTCACAGCAAGAGCAAAAGAGGAAAAGGACTCATCAGCATTGAAGATTCATTTTCCTTTCGTTCCCCATTTGCAAGAAAATAATAATAATGCTAAAAATGCTAATAATAATATACTATATGATACCAGTAATAGTCTTAATAATATACTATATAATACTAATAATAGTATACTATAAATACTAATAATAATATACTGTATAATAATTACTATATAATACTAGTAATAATAGACTATATAATAATAATAATAATAATATACTATATAATACGAATAATAGTAGACTATATAATACTACTACTAATATACTATATACTAATAAGAACAAATTATAATTACTATATAATACTAATAATAACAGACTATATAATACTACTACTACAATTATACTATATACTAATAAGAACATACTATATAATTACTATATAATACTAATAATAATATAGTATATAATAATATACTATATACTAATAATATTATTAGTATATATTATATACTAATAATATATTATAATATATAATAATATATATGACTATTACTACTACTAATAATAATGTACTTTATTATTATTATTATTATTATTTACTAATATAAGGCTTTTGGGAAGAGTCCAATATTCAGAGACGAATCCCAGACACTTGGACCTCATGTGTATGTGTGCTGTGATGATATGTACCTGTGTATGTATGAATGCGTGTGTGTATATATATATGTGTGTATATATGTGTGTTGGGGGGGGGGGGATGTTATAGTTTGGCCAAGCCTTTCTCCTTCTTCTTTGCCCAAGATTACAAAGGATCCCACAGCATGGAGCTAGGCGGTTAAAGCGGTGTCAAAACATCAAAACTGCGCTAAATCGGCCATGTAGATGAAACCAAATTGAAGTGTGGAGGGGTTCTCTTCATCCTTCGCCTTTAAGGCCACCGTTCGTGTTATTTCCCCACCCCACCCCTACCCCCTCTCGTTATGAATAGCGGTCAATCCCAGCACCGAGAGGAAGGCGCTCTGCACATGCTCAGGAGCGTTCTCGGCCTTGCAATCCGTTGGAAGGAAAGGGGATTCCGTTTCCTTCAGGGGAGAGCGGCCAAGGCCGCATCCTGAGCCTCTTTTTGGAACTCTCTTTCCAGCCCCTTCGTTGAGGAAGGGAATGCGACAATGGCCGTCTCTTTGACCTCCATCTCTTTTGGGGTTTTCCTCCCCTCCTTCCCTTCCTTTTCCATCTTCCTTTCCATTTAGAGCAGCCCTGGGCCAACTTGGGCCCTCCAGCTGTTTGGGTTTCCAACTCCCAGCATTCCTAGCAGCCTCAGGCCCCTTCCTTTTCCCTCTCAGCCGCTTAAGCTGAGAGATCAATACATAGAAGATTAGATAGGTACATAGACTGATAGAAAGAAAGAAAAATAGAGGGTGAGATAGGTAGATAGATAGACTGATAGCAAGCAAGCAAGCAAGAAAGATGAATAGATAGTTAGATGATTAGATAGACTGATAGGAAGATAGGCTGATGATAGATAGATAGATAGATAGATAGATAGACTGATAAGTTGATAGATACATGAATAGATTATTCGAAAGGAAAAAAGGAAGAAAGAAACATGATAGATAGATATAAAGAAAGAGATAGATAGTCTGGCAGAAAGATAGATAGATGAATAGATTATTAGAAAGAAAGAAAGATGATAGACTGATAGATAGATATAGATATAAAGAAAGAGATGGAAAGACTGATAGATATAAAGAGATAGATAGATATATAGATATAAAGAGACAGATAGATTAGATAGATAGATAGATAGATAGATAGATAGATAGATATAGACAGACAAACAGGGAGATAGAGATAGATAGATAGAAATAGATAGATATAAATAGATAGATAGATATAAAGAGACAGATAGATTAGATAGATAGATAGATAGATAGATAGATAGATAGATAGATAGATAGATAGAGAGATATAGACAGACAAACGGAGATAGAGATAGATAGATAGATAGAAATAGATAGATATAAATAGATAGATAGATAAATAGATAGATAGATACAAAGAGAGAGAGAGAGACTGACTGACTGACTGACTGACAGACAGACAGGGAGATACAAAGAAAGAAAGATAGACTGATAGAAGGATAGATAGATAGATAGATAGATATATAGATATATAGATAGATAGATAGATAGATAGATAGATAGATAGATATAAATAGATAAATAGATGGAAAGAGATAGACTAGAGAGATAGATACAAAGAAAGAGACAGATAAATAGATGGATAGACAGACAGACTGACAGAGAGATAGAAAGATAGATTGATAGAAAGATAGATATATAAAGAGATAGATAGAGATAGATAGATATAAAGAGATAGAAATAGATAGAGAGATAGATAGACTGAAAGATAGATAGATAGATATATAGCTAGATATAAAGAGATAGATAGATATAAAGAGATAGATAGATAGACTGATAGATAGACTGATAGAAAGATAGATATAGATAGGCAGATAGATATAAAGAGATAGATAGATAGATATAAAGAGATAAATAGATAGAAAGAGATAGACTGACAGATAGCTAGCTAGATAGATATAAAGGGATAGATAGACTGATAGAAAGATAGATATAGATAGGCAGATAGATATAAAGAGATAGACAGATAGATAGATATAAAGAGATAAATAGATAGAGATAGACTGACAGATAGCTAGCTAGATAGATATAAAGGGATAGATAGACTGATAGAAAGATAGGTTATTAAATAGATAAGTTGGATGATAGACAATTGGACAGATTATTAGCTAAATAGATGATTAGATAGATAGCTATATGAATATTTAATAGCTATTAGATAGATGATCAGAAAGGTATAACAAGTGATATCTACAAAATGCTGTTGGAAGGGGTCCAGGAGGAGGACCACCTTAAAAGAATGTGGGAGTTAGATTGTAATAAAGTAATACACCCACAAAACTGGAAAGGAATGTGGAATATGCGTATATTAAAAAATATGTCAATAAGAATAAAAGAGAACTATTACAAAGTGGTGTGGAGATGGTACCTCACACCAATCAGATTAAATCAAATTGACAAGAAACATTCTAAGCAGTGCTGGAGGGGCTGTCAAGAAACTGGCACATATATACACATGTGGTGGTCT